AAATTTTACAATTGATTTAGCCCAAGTGGGAGAATGTTAGAAATTTTTATAATAATTGCGGGCTTCAATCAATTTTGATTTGGACTTGGATATCTGTAAACTGATTAGTGTGGGTAACAGTGTAGGCCTAAACCATAGGCCCATGATGGGAAGGGGACTAGGGTTAATAAGTTTGGCTAGGTCCCCTCTGCATTCACAATGTGTTAAAAAACCGTTACTCCACAACATGCCCCATCGACGGTTGTAATCAGAGAGTGATGTGAATTGCAGAGGAAGATCCTGGTCTTTCCATTGCAGGATCATCAGAGGAAACAAGAAGCGTTCAAGAAATCAAGAATAATGTTTTCAACAAGTAAGCCTGAATCTTTTGGTGTTCTAAAATCATATAATCCTATTTGGAAATTTCTTACAGTGTGCTCTTGTAAAATGTCAGTTGTAGGAATTGACTTATAACAATCTTTTTTTTTTAGGTTACAAGGAATTGAACACAACACCCTACACTACACACACTCCTAACACACACACCCCACACCACTAGGCTAACCCCAGTGGTGCGACTTATAACAATCTTCGATAAAGATTATTAATCGAATGAGAGAATTTCAACTGCATTTGACTTGCTAATCAAAACATTAATTTCAATTAAACATGATTGGTTAGTGTAATGAGCTTAGATCTTGATCGCTTGAAGAGTGAAGTATGTCGCTACGGAGGTGTTCTTAGAGATAATGGTATGGACCAAAGTTAATCACTGTGCGTGTATCTTAGAGATGGCTGAGAGAGGGGAAATATGTAATGGAAACAATGGCTTTATATTTTGGCGAGTAACAACTTATACATGTAATAGATGAAAAAATGTTCTTCAATGGGTGAAGGAGGTATATATAGGTGCAGAAATATTCTCTTATAATGAGAGAGAGTAATAATCATTTTTACCCAAACCTTATTGCTACGCGTGAGGTAATGCACTACCAATGTGTACGATGGTGAGCTATATATGTAGGGGAGGTGAGAGATATTTTGTTATGAGGATCTATGATTCTCACTTTAGGGAGACATGGGAGTGACATTTTAAATGGGCCTCTAAGGTTATGTTATGAGGTATATATGTAGGGGAGGTGAGAGATATTCTGTTACGAGGATTTATGATTCTCACTTTAGGGAGACATGAGAGTGACATTTTAAATGGGCCTTTAAGGTTCAGCCCATGAATCATGGTTGTGAGGCATATCTAAAACAAAACATTAACAAGTATGTCTAATTGAAATTGACAACGGGCCTCTTTCCCAAAAACATTCATACACAATATCTAATAAAATTAGGGGTAGTTCTTCGGATCAGCAGGTTGTGTTTAGGTTGACATAAATTTGACACGAATAAAAATACCCTTAACAGGAACACAATACTAATAGTTATTTATGTCCAAACCCTCTATACGAGCACAACCTCTTTATTACACGACTAAATAATCCTTTAATTTTACTTTTTAAATTAAAATTATTTAAATAATTAACCTCAAATTAATAAAAAAGTGGGTGTAGTTAGAATAAATTTATAATGATATAATTATTTGATTTAAGTGAGTCGACACCAAGATGAATACCTCTCTAACACAAACACAACATTATTTTTTTCAGGTCACTTTTCCGTCTACCCAAATATAGCACAAATAAGAATATTGATTGACACAGACATAAAAAATCCATGTCAAATTTGAATCGTGTTGAATTGTTGATGAGTCTGTGTTGAAAATTTCCACTTCTAAATAAATCCTCATGTCCAATCTTAACCTTGTGTTTAGATAAATATAGCAATGATAGCATACCGCTCGATCGTGGCTCGTCGCCCTCATTTGTTATTCCATGTGTACCAATATCCTTTACCCTTTTTTTTAATTTTAATTTAAAAGTAGCTTTTGACTTAAAAAAATAATAATATCAAAACTGTCATGATACACAATTTATCTCTATTATCTCTTACTTATAAGCTTTTTGATCTTTCAAAATGGACTATAAAAAAGATCAAAAACCGCTAGTTTATTCTTTCATCATTTATCTAATTGTACTTCTTTTTTAGTCACTTACCTTCCCATGGTTTTAATAATTATTTATAAGGTAAAATGAACAATATTTTAAATTGTATTAAAAGTTAATTTGGCTAGAAAAAACAGGATATATATTAAAAAAGCACAAAAAATAAGTAATAAAACAATAAACCATACGATAATTTTTGAATTTTTTCTTCAGTAGTGTAACACCATCTTTAACCTTATATAGTTAATAAAAGCACCGTAGTTTGTGCCGGATTAATGCAGTCTTCAAAGGGAATGACGAGACTGGTCCTGTCACTTATTGTTCCTGGACTTTTGATCCACATCAGATTTTGTAGGCAGTTCTGTAGGAGGTAGTGCATTTTTACTTTTTAGTACCATTGTGGTACTGAACTGGATGCGTTTTTTATATTTTACTTTTGGAATTACATAGTTTAAATTACAAAAAATGCTTTGTTTTTTTTTTACTTCAGTTGAGGTAGCATCATTGATCGTACTGTCACACTTTTGAATATAATATACTTGAATGCTGTCAAATTTTTTTTTTCAAACTGTCATGATACTATATTCGCTGAGATAGTCAGGTACTATATATAGACGGGACACGTGTCACTTCTCCAGTGGCTGAAAGACCTGATTGTACCAAAGTAGCTGACTACCTCAACGACTTTGGATTGAATGAGTTGCGTGTCTAGCCACTAGAGATGTGACACGTGTCCAATTCATAGTAGCTGACTACCTCAACGACTATGGTGTCGTGACAGTTTGAAAATTTTTTTTTGACTCCATAACATACAGGTATATTATGTTCAAAGAGAAGGCACTACAGTCAATGTCTCGCATCTTCCCATTGGCCGGTCGCACCAACCATAGTATTGTAGATTTTCCTGATAGGAGAAGCTGACAGCACCCAATCCCATCAGGGAAATTAATAGCACTCCCACTCCACATCATGTGTGCCAGTTCCGTTAGCCACATTAACAAAACCAGTTAAACAATCTTGTCATAGTGTTTGATGGTCTCTATCTTTTACATATCCTTAACCCTCCAACCATCTCCTTAATGCTACAGTATAATCCTAATTTTTTTTTTTCCTACATGCTATATCAATTTGGAAGATTCTAATTTTTTTATACTTTTGGTAGGAATAATTTTTTTTTAAAAGAGTACTCTAGTAGGACTTTAATTCTATTATAGTTACCTAAAATAACTACGTACTAACTTTAAAAAAATTATTCCTACCAAAAGTATAAAAAAATTAGAATCCTCCAAATTGATTTAGCATGTAGGAAAAAAAAAAGCTTAGGATTATACTGTAGCATTAAGGAGATGATTGGAGGGTTAAGATACCGTCAAACACTTTGACGGGATTAGTTTTGTTTAATGGTTTTGATGGGACTGGCACACATGGAGTGATATGGAGTGAGCGTGTCGTCAATGTTCGTGACAGGACATAATGTATAGAATTCGACATGGACAGTGGTGAACCCAGGAATTTTTCCTGTAGGGGCTAAAAATTAAATATTTGTTTCTCTCTTCAAACATAATATATGGGAGGCCAAAATACGAAAAATTAAATATTTGTACCTGTTTGGATCTTCTTTTTTTAAGCTAAAGCTACTTATAAGCATAAGCTAGGCTAAACAGGTTTTGAAAAAAATTCTTATAATGAAAATCTTTTTTTAAGCTCTTATCTGTTTTATTTGAATTGTGTGCTTTTTTTTTTAAATGAAGAGTTATAAAGATAAATAGAGAGATAATTTTCTTGAAATATGTGCTTTTAAATAACTTTTAAGCTAAAATTTTTATGTAATTATCAATCAGCTTTTAACTTTTTTTTTAGCTTTAGCTTATTTCGTTAACTTTACTGGAGGGAGAAAAAAAGCAGTCAGAGTTAGATAGGTTTCAATAGATATAGGACTTGAAAATACAAAGAGGCTCTATAAACTATGCAGTAGGAGAAAACTATTTCACATTAATAGAGAGAAAAAATAAAGATTTCTTGCATTAAACTTATGTTAAAAAAATATCTTCAAATTTGGGGAGGGGGGGGGGGGGGGGGGGGGGGGGCGCCAACCCTAGCACCCCCTTGGTCCGCCCCTGGACATGGACCAATAGTCCTATAACAATACCTGATGGGACTGGTCTCATCATTCCCTTTGACGTGTTTGATTACGTCAATATTCTTTTAGTTGTAAAATCTTTCACATTTGCCACAAAACAAAATATAATTACTCCAAAAGGGTGGTAAAAGAAAGATTATAGTAAAATGGTAATAAAATTCAGCTTTAACTAGTTTAAAAATATATATTCATTTCAGTAAATAATCATTAATTACGTGAAACATATCATGCCGAAATTTCCATACAGTTGCCTGAAAATTCACTGGGCTCATATTTTCTTAATAGAGAGAAAGAGATAGCATATTAGCGAAGCTACAAGAAAACCATGGGCGGAAAATATTGTCGACGCGGACCACGCCCACGGACTCTTCATACCAAATCACTCTCCAAGGAAAGCGATCAAGACAGAGATTTGATTTTGAGTAAATGGGAATAAGCCTAAGTACCTCCCCAATTTGGGGAGATCCTGAGTTGTTTATTCTTACCATTTACGTACGCTTATGCCCACAATACACACTTGTAGCCACACTCCAATATCCATTTTAATGTTACACGACTTCCACCAACAAATTTTCTTCCTAATATCCTCGTATTACCAACCACAAAATCCACCTCCCAGAGTATTGGTTCCACTTGTAATCCATATCTGCATGCAGGGCTATCATATGCATAACATTAAATACAGCCAAATCAATCACCTCCTTTTCACCTAACCACAGATACACCGAGCTAAACAGACCATATTTATAATAACCACTGCACTAGTGATCATATCCACCATTTACCTTGATTAAATTGATTTCGTCATCCAATCGTACAAGTCCACCATGAAACTGAGCTGCAATGGGTGCCGCATACTTCGCAAAGGTTGCAGTGACAACTGCATCATCAGGCCCTGCCTTGAGTGGATCAACTCCCCTGAGTCCCAAGCCAACGCCACCCTCTTCCTTGCCAAATTCTATGGTCGCACTGGCTTGCTCAACCTCATCACCGCCGCTCCACAAAACCTTGGCCCAGGTGGCATAACCTATGTGAAACAATGATCCACTTGGTTATTTATTCTAGAATCAAATGAATTCTATTCCGTCTTAGTTTTACTTATCCTTGGACCATCCTTAAATCTAGATATTTATTCTCCATGAATTCTAATAAAATTTCTGATGCTTACCATTAAGCTTTAAGATATTAATCCCTTGTATAATATAACTTAAATAACATGTTTGTATGCATCAAATAATTAGAATATTTCAAAATTTAACAAAAATCTAATAAGTGTTTTTTTTTTTTTTTTTTTAATTTAATTTTCAGCTGTGTTCAGGTCACTGTTGTACGAGGCTTGTGGGAGATTAGTGAATCCAACTTATGGCTCATTAGGTTTGTTCTGGACCGGGGAGTGGGCCCGATGTGAAGCTGCTGTGGACGCCGTGCTGACTGGGTCCAACATTGATGGCGTGGCACTTCCTGATTGGCCTACCTCAGCGACATTTGGTGGTGGTCATGCTCTACCAGCCTGTGATATACGCCACGTGCCTAGAGGAACCATCCTCGATGATGTCAGAGAAAGGACTCGGTTCAATAGAACTGGGCAAGTCACCAGACCCAAACCGCAAGTGGGTTCGGTAGACTCGGCTTCATTGTGGAAATCCGGTTGGGAGAGTGAAAGCGTGATGATGGCTTCGTTGGTGAGCCAGGACCAGCCGAACCGAACCGGTGAAAATGGGGTGAACCTGGAACTCACTCTTGGCTTCCGTTGCCAATCAACCAGGGGCGAGCAAAGGAATTATTAATTTTATTTGTTTTTTTTTCCTCCTTTTTCTTTATTGATTTTTGTAACTATGTTGAACTTCAGGGAAAATAAGGACAAACATTGGGCATATTGGAAAATGTAAATGTTTGGAAGGGGCTTTTGTCTAGGGAGTGGAACGGGTGAATACTCAGGATTTTTGTACCTGCTAATCATCATTTTTAACCATATGAATTAGACCAACTTTGTTCCCTCATGGTCAATAATAATAATAATAATAATCCATGTTTCAAGTTTCAATTGTACGTGTATATGTATATCAAACATGGATTGTAAGAGAAGTCATTAGATGTGACATATTGGTGTTAGCTTAGAGTTATATATTGATGAACATATTACTAGTGGCCTGAAATTTTATATATTGATGCCATATTACTAGTGGCCTGAAATTTATCTCAACCATATATTATGATTCTATATGTTGGAGGATGACCATCACAGGCACTTGGATCATGGCTATTAATTTGTGACTTTATTCCAATTTTCTGGAAATTTAATTTTTTCCCCTTTGGAAGGGGAAATTGTGAAGTAGGAAAATATTGAGCGGATAATTTCGGTAGAAGTTAATTATTATCTAGAATTATTAGATTTCGTGTGAATATACATAGAAAAGTATTTAATCAATCTCAATAAAATTGTAAGTAAATCTAATTTTGCATAAAGAGACATTATTTCGCGCGTGTTGTATATTTAGTAATATTGTTTAAAGAAAAAAATAACTTATAACCTACACATTATTAAAGATAAGTTTTATAAAACAAATTAATGAAATTGTGTTACTTAAAATATCAATTCTAGAGATTGGATGAATTTTAAATAAATTTTAATTTTAATTGATCGGAAAAAAATTTAATTTTTTTTATCATAAACTTATATTTATTCAAACAAAATTTTGGTGGCACTTTAATTTTAATAAAATATAAATTTATGGAGAAAAATATAAATATAATTTTTATTTAAAATTAACACATGATATGTAATTTTCTTTTATGATATAAAAAATTCTTTTTTACAAGACTTAATTCTTTAATTTTCATAAGAGTGATTCAATTCATAAAAAAATAATTTTTTTGAAATATTTTTGAGATTCCGAAATTATAATAATTAAATTTATTATTCTCTATTTGATGTAAACCTTCACAATAAATTCGCACGAGATTCGTTTTAATTGGATCAGGTTCTGGTTGGATAAAATGTTAAATCCCTCTAATCTCGATTTTTAATGAGACAAAAGTCCTCAGCAATTATCAGGACGGCCGATGAAAAAATAACTCTCCGTGATTGTTATTATGATCCTTGTTAGTAATATAAACAAGAATAGATATGTTCTAAACTATTTTGCTACAACCAAGTAAGTTTTACAGCTAGTAAACCCAAATCTAATTCAACTAAGAACATAAATAACTAAAATTAAATTTTCCCAAATAATAAAATGAAAGTTTGGAAATCAATCAAAATTTAACAAGAATTAGATGAAAAAAATAAAAATAAAACTCTTGCCACAAATTAATTGTAAGGTTTATTCATTTCTTGAACTGCTTGACCATTTCATTATTTTCTGCAAAATTGTTATAGTACATCGAGCAAATACAAATAAAAATTTAGTGGTTGAACAATGAATGCTAGGACTCATTTGTTTTGCAAAGGAAATGTAGGTGCTGCAAAGGAAGCCCTCTTAACAAACCTCCCTTTCATTCTAGGTCTCTTCTCTGCGTTCAATTTCCTAACCTCGTACCTTATTTTCTTAGAGAACAACCTTGTTCGGCGCTTTTCTCGGTACCTTGACACCCTTGCCTCTCTGCCCCCGTCTGTCATTATTGGATGACACCCAAATCTCCCCAATTCACCATAAGGATGATGAAGCTCCGTTCCACAAGTTCCCTGGTTAACAACATCACAAAGCTTCTTAGTCATACAACATCATCTAATTATTCAAAATTCAAATTAACATAATCAAGATACCATCCATCATCAGGTTTATCACATTAGAAAAATTTGCTCTATTCCCATGCTTAAAATTCGATAAAGAATCAATTTAGTATATGCTTTTGTCATATGGAAAAGTTAAAATTTGTTAAAAAAAAAAAAAAAACTGTTAGTTGGACCTTAAATAATAAAGTTTAAACGATGGATTCAAGATTCAGCCTTTATTAGGGACAAGAAATTTGAGAGAAAAATTATGTAGTTATTTATTAAAAGGAAGAAAAAACTGTAATTCGAACATTGAATTGGAGAACTTAACAGCTGACTAATAATGAATCAAACAGATTGGCTGTAGTTTTTGTTAAATTAATAAGAAAATTGAGACACCTAAATGAGAGAAAGAGGCAAATACGAACCATGCAGTCAGGCCAGCACTCATCAGGGTCCAAGTTTGGTTTATCACCGGTAGTCCAAGGAGACTTTTGGCTAGCCCATGCGATGATTACAGCCTCATAATCTAGCTGCAAAGATATCTTCCTTTTTCTCTCCTTGTGTTCTCCACCATTCCCCATATCCGAATCAACCTTCTCCTTCACCTCTTCACATGTTTCATGAGAATCATAATCAAAGCTCAACTCAAACGATCCTCTTCCCATCTCCATCTGTTCATCTGCCTCAAGCTTAGCAGCACTCTCTTCCTCTTCAACCTTCACCTTCCCACTCCCCACAGCAGAACAATCCCACCACTCCTCTTTTTTGGTATCAACAAGCCCCAGCTCTTCCATCCCTATGCACTCGTTTTCTAGTCCCTTACCCAATAAGCTCTCCACGTCAGCTGCAAACTCAGCAAGTTCAATATCAGAAGGAAGAAACCCTTCCAAGCTATGATTATTATAAGCCAACGGAACTTTGCTCTCGCTCCCTTCGGTGACCATGTTTTCAACCTCAGGAGGAGGAGCAGCAGCCACAGCTATAGCTCCTTCAGCTGAAGTCACAGAAGAAGGAGTACTGCACAGTTCAACTACAAAGGGATCGAATATAGGGACCCTATAAAGAAGCTGCTCCTCGTTCTCTTCGTGTGAATTCACTTCATCCAAACCCACTTCAGGGACCAGGTGAAAAGGGTTGTTTCTCGCTGGCTCGTTACTCCATGACTTAGGTGTCTGACGAGTTGCTGAGTGTTTCCCATGTCTTGGTGTTCGAGCTTTCTTGGTGAAGCCATGGTGCCACGATGGAGCACAATTATTGAGTTCATCAGAAGCTGCGGAAGTGGACTTGTACGACGCCGTATTCAAGCGGACTCTTTCATGTCTACGAGCCAATGAGTTAGCTGAGTGAACGGAAGAGTCACAAGCTTGGCATAGGAAAGCATCGTCGGCAGCACAGTACCAGCGAGCTCGCTTTGTTATGCAGCTATCACAGGCTCTTGCGGTTTTGCCACCAACGGCGTTTGCTTCGTTCGTATTAGCTGGAGTCATCAGAATCAGAGAATGCTGCACTAACACTAACTTTTGAAAGCAAAAGCTCCAGAGAGGGTGAGTGTGAGAAGAGTAGGCTTACAAATTACAATATGTTGTTGTGTTTATTATTTTCTTTTGTTAACACATGATGCTAAAAGGGCTGGGAGTACAATTATTTTTAGTGTATGGGAGATGAACTAACTAACTAGTATAGGGTCTGGTCTGTCTGTGTGAGTGCGTAGAATGACCCACAAGAGGCGCTTTTGCAGTCCATTTAACAGCAAGCAAGAGATTGTTTGGTTTGCACTTTTGTTGGTACCTTTTGCACAGTGGAAAGGATTGAGATTTGGGGTCCACACGGCAATGCCTTATCTTGTTTTTAATTGGTGGAGCTTGTAAAGTTCATCTTAATCTCTGCCTTCTCATTGGGTGGCTCTCTAATCAAAGGGATTTCTTGTGGTGACCCACGTGCCCTATGGATTAGCATGGGCCTTTGATCCCATCTTGTAACCAAATTTTTTATCTTTGCCCGTCAATTACTTGCTAGAAATTTGAATGAGACCTTTTTGTTAGCTTGTCTTTGTGCAGCGTTATACCTGGGTTAGGAATCCCTGACTTTTGTTTCTGCGGTCCCCACTTATCCATTTGTCTTTCTTTCTTTCTTTCTATCTCCCTCACTTTTCTGGCCTTTTACACATTATTTCTGCTTCAACTTTGTGTCGCAGTATTACCAGTTGAACCTTGCCAGCTAAAATTAGTCCTCATTTCAATTCGTCTCATCTTATTACGGAGGATGTGATTTGGATGGGAAGATAAACAAGGTCACATCCATTGCCATTTTTCTTGAAGCAACCACAGGTGATTAGATTGTACTAGATCAGGTCATTATGTTATTCCAATTTCCAACAATGGAGCTCATTTTTGGTGCAGCTGGCAGCATCGAAAATATTTTTCCAACAATGGACACGTACTGCACTAGACAGTAATCCACTTCCCCAAGTTGGAGAGAAGTCAGACAAAACATGACACGCACGTTTCATTCATAAATTGTTAATGGATTATACGTTGCAAAATATTTTTTTTCATCTTACATAAGAAATATTATGTTATACATCTATTAAAATTTGAGTCAATATTTTTTTTTCTTTTAATTTGTGAGACTCATCTAATTATATCTCTACATAAGATAATACTATTTCATATAATATGAGAAAAGCATTACCCTTATATGATATCATATGTTTACACGCCCAATTGGAGCCTCTTCTCTTTCTTCTTTTTTCTTCTCGAATTTTTTTTTTTTTACTAAATTAGAAAATTTCTACATATGCACTCAGTTTTTAAATATCTCAGTTATTGATGAAAAATGGGGTCTCAAATACATTTGTTAGATTTTAAATCGAAGTAATATGTATTACTAATGTGTTAAGGATGAGCTCGTCAAATTGATAGCGAAAGGGTCTCGATTCGATTTCCATATATTATTTTTGTAAGGAGATTTAAATATTTTCATCTTTAATCTACTCCGTATTTTGAATTAATTCCATAATCAGCTTAAAGAATTGAAGTTATGGGAATACATTAAGAAACTCAACTCACCTCAAAAAAAAAAATTCGATTGGGTTAAGTAAAAAAAAAAAAAAACTAGACTTATTAATTTTTTTTAAAAAATAAATTCTCATCCAACACGCACACAAAATAATAGCTAAGAATTGTTTAAAAAACGTATTTTGATACAATTTTTTAAATAAACTCACTGTTTTAATACAAATTATTTATGGCTGAATATGTTCTTTTATGGTATGCGGTACACCGTTCCGATAAAAAAATTTCTTTACTTTTAGTATGGATATAAAAAATTGAAAATAAATATTTTTTATTTTTTTTTTGTGTAGAAAGAATTTTTTGTTTAATCATAGTATAAAAGAATGGTTAGGAAATTGAAACCAAATTCAAAAGTAGCAACAAAATATGGTTCACCAAAAATTACTCTAAAATGTGTTGTTTTGGGAAAGAAGGAAAGAAAAGGGGATTTCTGACTTTTGATAAACTTGGAAAAAGAAAAAGATCCATTATGTTGACAAGTCATATAAATTTGATTACTTTATAAGAATTTGGTTATGGTAAAAATATTCTCAGTAAAAAAAAAAACAGACATACTTATTTAGTGATGTGGAAAGTATGATAACTTGATAAGAATTTGGCTATGGTTAAGAAATTCAATAAGCGAATGGATATTATAGTGATGTGGAGACTTTTCAATTCTCATCAATGCCTACAAAGTCCTATACCCCGGATGCAAATTTTGGAAAGGATATATGGAGGACTTGTCATGGGGAAATATTTCAACATATTCCTTAAAGTGATAAGGACTACACCTATGGCCATCATTTTCCTCTCTCTTCTCACATGTCAAACCGGAATCTTATTCGGTTCGATACTTGATTCCAAAATCGATAGGTAAAAAATAAATAGGGAGGGCAGAAAAAATTATGTGAAAGAGATGTTCTATTAAAAAGTACTGAACCCTTACTAATTAATAACTTACAAACAAATGTCCCAAGACTAAAACTATCTATTCATATACTGTTATATAAAATATAGTCTATCCAATTAAGTGTAATCAATTAATGTCGCATGTCATAATTCATATTTTCTTCATACTATTATATTATTAAATAGTTAAATTTATATTTTGTATGTTTTAATTTAAAAAAGTTAAAATTTAAAATTATGTTTAAATGATTTTATTTCAAGTAATACAATAGTAAGTTAACTTTAAAATTTGGGTGGTAATTACGCTTAGCTCTAACAGTTTCCTTTCTCTCTTCGTTGGGTATTTCATTGGTTTGTTGATTCCCTGCATTTCTAGGTGGAGGCTGTGCAGATACTAATCTATTAAGTTTGTTAAGAAACAAACTATTTTTTTTTCTAAAACAAATCGGTTTGGTTTGACATATAAAAAATTAAAAAGAAAAAAATCATGTCTAGCCTGGGTAAGGATGCAACAAGAGATAAAAGGCATCTGCGTTTCATTAGAGAATGGGGAAAAAATTGAAAGGGTAAAGCACCAATTGCTGCAATTAGTGGAAGACCTTCCCCTGCTGCTCCGATTTCTTTGCTTATAACAACTAAACATTATTATTATTCTATTGTTATTAGAATTTATTAGGGCTTAGAACAGGCCTTATTCATTGGGCCAGGCCTAGGAGATTCATTAGAAGTATGAGGAGGGGATGATATGTTTTATCGGGAATCTTAAACCGTCACAGAAAACTTGCCAATTGCCATGTAAGGTCGATCAAAATAATTGCAGCCCGATGGTTATTACAATAAACAAACATGAAAGTGTCTGTTCTGCTTGATTAAAAACGCAGTTGATGAAAGATAGGTAGCAAATGTCTGAAAGCACTTAATTGGTGCCCCAAATATTGATGATGTGATGGACTTGTGCTAAGAGTTCTTTCATTCTCTCGGTTCTGCTTGGCTTAGAACCTTGACTCAAAAATGTTCAAATTCAAGCCAATATGCAATCTCGGTCCGTGGACTATTATGCGGAGTCGATGTCAGAAACGCATTCGTAAACCAAAAACGGTACCATTTGATTGCAGACGATATTTATTTAAGCTATATGAGCTTTGTTGTATTGGTAACAGTTATGCAAGTACCGCGCAAGTAATACAGGACGTATTTGAGACCCTTTTATCGTTTTCACAAGGATCTTTAGCGTGTGTAACTTGACTAAACTTTGTAATTGCTAAAACTGAATTTAATCTAAAAATGAGATAAAAATAAAAAGGAATTGACTAATCTAAAATGCTCCTGACTAGTAACTATAAGTATATTTTTTATATTTTCAAATTTGATTTCTTGAATTACAAAGTGAAAAATGGAAGGACAACAAATTAATATTTGATTGAAAAAGATTTTTATATAAAGATATTTGTAAACAGAATTAGAAGTGAGGTTTTTGAAAATCAAATGAAAATAAATCTAAGTTGGTGAAAAACAAATTGTAAAGTAGGTTGAGTTTCGGTTCCCCTTCCCAACAGCCTCTGAATGAGTGCTAATTACAAGTCACTAAAAATTAATTCTCAAGTGATGGATTCTTTCTTATTGCTTTTAATCTCTTAAAATCATTTTTTTCCTAAACAAACATTTGCACATCTCTGCGCTAAACGAAGTAAAGACCTGTATAGTCCAATCCAAAATTACATGGAGGTTCTTCTCATCTCTGAGTAACATCCCTTGAGTGCTCTATCACTCAAGTCCATGGGCTTAACACAGTTCTGGACTTAGTCATCTCTCAATGGCTAATTCCTAAAATAATATCCTACCATCAGGCCTTAACAATAGAATATTTAAATTCAAACAACTTTAAACAAAAGTAATCAGCACAAGTTCATAACTGAGGTTCGAGTACCTACACCCAACCTAGAAAAGATAGCTCCTATCCATAAGAATGGAGCTTAAAAACAGCAAATGAAATTGGAAATTGCAGAATCTTAAAGTGCTTAAAATTAAACTACAGCACTGGTCCTAACAACCGAATTAACCACAGTGTTGTACCAACATGAGTAATCAGAGAACAAACTTCATTACAAAATCAAAACAGAGGAAATAAAAGTATGCATAAAAGGGTACAGAAAAATAAAAGGTAAAAGCAGATGAAAAACCAGCCAGGGCCGCACACTCACTATTCCTTCCCTTTATATAGCCTTCTTCTTTTGCATGTATGGATTTCTGACTCACACCTCAGCAAGCATCGCTTCTTGCGCGTTGCACATCAGTGGTCCCCAGCTGCTCCACACCTCACTCCCACAATTCGAAAAATTGCTTCAGCCTCCACTCACAATAGAATCCAGCTCACCCACTCAATGGAGGATTTTGTTTGGCATTTTCTGTATAAAGCAATAGTGGTTAGGGTTTGATTAATCTCCTGGTGGACCGTGGGTGAGGGTTAAACTTGATGGATAAACCGTAAACAAGGAGTGGTCCGGCTTTACGGGTCAATTTGTGGTAGGGACTTTGGATGGAGGGTGTGGATTTTCGGTCGAATGAAGGTGGGTCTTGTTCGCACGATGTGTGCTAGGGTTTCTCTTCTCAGCACTTTCTTTTCGTTTCTGATTCTGTCTCTTTCTTTCGATCCCTTCTTTTCTTTTTGCTTTTCCTTCACTTGGGCTTTTAGTCAAAGGTCCGGCCCATTTGTTTCTATCTTTTTCTTTTTTT